GACTGGCAGTGGGATGCAGGACTGGCAGTGGGATGCAGCACCTGGTGCCGTGCAGCAGCGGGGAGCCCATTTGCTTCCCCAGGCAGCGCGGGGCACGAGCCCAGTGGCATCAAAGCACCCGGAGCCACGCGAGAGGCTCCGCTTCCCAGCGTGGTCCCGTTCTAGGGGCCAAACAGCCCTCGGCCGGGGTGGCACGTGCACCGTGCAGGGGCATGGAGCACAGGGCCAAGATAATGGCTGTGCAGTGGGGACGCGACAGTGACACGAGCCCCGTCACAGCTGGAGGTGTCACAGCTCTGGCCTAGGGAGCAGCAAGACGAGCTCCGGGGCTGGAGCCGCTGGTGACGGCGGTGCTGGGGACGAGGCGCTTCCCCCAGCTCCGTCCTCAGCAAGCTGCTCGTGCAGCCCCTGTCCAGATCTTTCTGCTGAGCAGCTCTTGCACTTGTTATTTATTTCTGATGCATCTTGTACCGCGCTGTTGCTACAGAAGCATCTGTATTTGTGCAATCAAAAGGAAAGAGAGAAATAAGTGCTTCCAGCTCTTCCAGGGACTGCAAGAGGGAACGAAGCACTGCCCAGAGGATGCTTAGGTCAGAAACCTGCAAACCCATCAGCATTAAAGCATCACGTGTAACCCAGGATGTGTAGCTTGTAGCTAACAGCTTCTGGGTGCCGATTTATTCAGCGCTAAATTGAGAAAAGGCCCCGAGGTTGCAAGGAAACAGCCTTTGTAGTAAGGTGGGGGACTCCTCCGTTTATCGCCCAGATACAGATAACGCATGAACTAAAGGTATGGGCACAGATTGCACGCTCACTAAAGCAGCCAAGAGCTCCAGCCTCCCCTGCTCAATGCTGTTCCCTGCAGCATCCACCACCCTGAAGGCAGCCCCGGAGCGCGGCCCGGACCAGCCACGTCCTCGGTGCCCGATCTGGGGCCACGAGGAGGTTTCTGTCCCTCTCTGCACCGCACGGGACGAGCCCTGCAGGACCAGGGCATCCTTTGCAGCACGGAGCGAGCGTGGGGTGCTCAGATGGCAGCGCTAGGTTTGCCAGCGAGGGAAAGGGCTTGCAAACCTTGCAACCCTCCACGAGCAACCTTCATCTTCAGATAAGAACAGCAGGGATCAGGCCCACTTGCCCAATAGAGTTATTTTAGTGCAAGGTCCGTGCATGGAGAGGTTGGAGCGGCAGGAAAAGCTCCCGCACGGGGGCAGGGACGTCACCAGTGCCACGGGYGGGTGGCATCGCCCCCAAGCATCCACACAGGAGAGAAATGCATCCCACGCCAGCGGGGACTTGAGTGGGGTTATAAATAGGATGGAGAGGAACTGATGGAGATGCGGGATGAGCCCACGGCTGGCGCGTGGGAGCCGCGCCRGTGCTGGAAAGCTACCCTGGAGCATCTCCTTCCCGCGCGACCCTCCGCAGCCGCCCATCCCGGAGCGCGCTAGGGTGTTTGCCTTGCAGAAACTGTTGGAAATGGATCTTTTTTCCCTCTGGGGGCTGCAGGAAGCCTCGCAGCGCTGCAATGAGGCTGCTGCTAGACGGGATGTGCTGGGCTCTGCCCGGCGCTCGCTCTGGTTCTTATCAGCGAGCAGGAAGCCGGGGCTGCTGCTCGGCAGATGATGCGGGGCCTGAGGAGCGAGGGGCCGGGCGGGGGCGCGGATGTGACTCACCCGGGGATAAAACGGGATGAAACGGGCCCGCGGGAAGCGGCTCCGCGGGGAGCTTCCCATCGCCGGGCGCCCGTGCGGGATTGCGCGCCGGGACTGGGGGCACCGGGTGCCGCGCGCGAGGTGAGCGTGGGGGTCAAAGAAAAGCTAGCGACGTTTTGGGGAGGAAAAGTGGGAATTTCGGCCTCTCASGGAGGGTCTGATCTCCTTCCCTGCGTGCTGAGGCTGCAGTCGTTTGAAGCGCTTCATCYGGGGGTGGATGGCTCAGGCAAGGGGAGCTTAAAAATGTGATGGACCATGGGAAGAGCTTCCTGAGAGCATCTTGGTTTGTGGGAAACGGGGTTAAAATGCCTGGAGTTTTCCCTGGAAGATGCGGTTGAAAGAGGCTGTGCCGTAGGGGGGCCCTGCGGCCGGCTTTGGCTCAGCTGTCTCCTCTGCCTCATTTTATTGATTAATTGGCATTAGCGATGGGGTTACGCCGGCTGCATCGCGGCTCATCCTCTTAGGGCGGCGACGTGATGCAGCCAAAGCAAAAATCCCAGGGAGGAAATTGCATCGGTGCTTGGGGCCGATAAATAAATGGTGCAATTTAATGTGCGCGGGGAGCGAGCGCTGCAGAAGCGCCCGGCGGGGGGACACGGTCCCTGCATGGACAGCGGGATGACACCTTCCCCGTGAGCTGCCGTGTCCTTCACGGCAAGGGCAGGTTTAAAGTGTGCGGAGGAAACGCTGACCCCGTGGAAAAGCTGCTTTTGGGTCCCTCAATACCAGGCTGGGAGGCCGCGGTGTCCTGCAAAGCAGCCGCGCAGAAAAGGGGCTTTGGGCAGCACGTTGGCTCCGCTCCTGGAGAACRGGCTGCCCTGGGGGAAGTTTTCCCTATGCGTTTCCCTAAAAATGGCTTTGGCGGGACGCTGTGCATGCTCYGACGTTTGCAAGCCGGCCTTGGATGTTCCTAGAGCCCCGGAGCCCCCGGGAYGGGCGGTTTTGGAGCCGCATCCAGYGGGGCCGCAGCAGCTGGGCGCGGGATCGGCACCGCCTTGGCACCGGCTGTGCCTGGGGGGAACAAGGCTGCCCATAGAGAACGCCAGCAACGCGCAGAACAAGCTCCTTTCTCAGGCAGCGCCGGCCCCGGCTCCCCCTCGTCCCATCGGGATTGCCGGGATGGGAGCGAGCCCGGCGGGCAGCTCTGATCCCAGCAACGGCAGCTCCTCTTTCCCAGCAGCCGCCTCGTCCGAGGCAGCTCATGGGCCGGTGGCTCGGAAAAAGGGTGTTAATTCTGAGGAGTGCAGCATTAATCTGTTGCTCCGATATGGTGTGTTTGCCGCCAGCGGGCTGTAATCCATCCTGGGCAAAACGCAGCGCCGGGGCGCTCTCTTTCCTCCCCCCCTTCCTTCTTTTCATGGAAATTTTATCAAATGATGAATTGTTCAATTCATTACTCGCTCGCAGCGAGCTCGCCGCCGCCGCCGAATCCTGGATTCCTATCTCCCGAGTCAGGGGGTAATTACCGAAATCTGGCAGCCGGCAAAATGGACGTGACGGAGGCAGCTGCTGCGGAGGGGAGCCGGAGTGCTCCGGGCTGGAAGGGACCCGGCGGAGCTCCCCAGATCCCTCGCGCCTTTGTTCCGTGCTGGGATCTGAGCGGAGCTGCCTCCGGAGCGGCGCTGCCGGGGGGACCGGGCAGTTGGGAATTGGTGTCCTTGGAAAATGCCGCCTCGGGAGCGGGTGTCCTTGGGAAATGCTGCGTTGGGAGCAAGTGGACTGGGGAATCGGGGCCACGGGAGCAGGCGAGCTGGGGAATCGGGCCCTTGGGAATTGGTGTCCTTGGAAAATGCCACCTCGGGAGCGGGAGTGCTGAGGAAAGGGGGCCTTGGGAGTGGGTGCCTTGGGAAAAGGCGTCCTTGGAGAAGGTGTCTTGGGAAAGCTCTAAGGGGTGGTCGGGATGTGGGGTGTGCCAGGCCCTCACGGCTGGCAGATTTCATGGAAAACTGGAGCAAACCCTTGGGATCCGAGC